GGGGGGGGGGGGGTCTCCACCCTAGTGGGAACATGTGCCTCTACCTCACCAATCCACACTTTAGCTCCCCTGATAAGGGTAAGAAGTGTCTGCTCCCAGCCCACAGCGTCTGAAGTGCTCTCCAGCAGAAGACTGCAGTCTGGCCTTCCAGCCACTTACCTCCCTGCATCTAACATGGAAAGGAGGGGATAGAGCATGGAGGGGGGTCCTTGCCCAAGGTTCTGGTGGGGGCTGGGCTGAGCTGGGAATCCCAGATGGGTTCTGGGACTTGATGCACAAAAATGTCCTTGGCAGGGCTTCAGGAAGCAGAAAGTGAGGTCGGGGTGCTGGAGGGACAACTGAGTGGGTGGGAAGTGGTTCTTTGGTCCAGCCCCCAGTGCTTTTGTTTTTGTTTCCTGACCCTGTGGGCACTGACTCTGGGCAGGGGGCCAGAGAGCAGTCAGTGACCCAGAGGGGTTGATTCCTGCCTGCCTCCAGCTGAGCAGGCCCCCCAGTGGCTAATTGTGGGGGCCCTTGTGAAACAGCCTGGATGGGGTGGGGCACGGGCGCAAGATGCCGCAACCCAAAGCCACAGGACGGTTACTCCATCAGCGGAGGGGGCGGACGGAACGCTGGAGGGGCCCAGGGCCAGGCTCCTCCCAACTGGTCTGCCTGCCACCTCAAAGTTAGGGGAAGTCCCCAGCCAATCCAGTAAACGGAGCCAGAGCTAGCTGGACAACCCACTCCCAGCTCTTCAAAGTTAGAAATCTCTGGGAGAATTAGGACTCACCAGCGTCCCTCTCTCTGCCTGAATCCCTAGTGAGGACAGCCCCCTAAGCCTTCGAGGGAGCAGGGGCTTTGTCCCAGGCCAGCTTAGGCGAGGCGGCTGTAGGAGGTAGGACCCTGGGATTCACACACACGGGGGTCACTGGCTGGCCCTCACCTGTAGTTGGCCAGTCCAGCCTTTCTGCACCACCCCCAGCAGCTTGGGCTATGGGTCTCCTGGGGCGCTGCTGGCTGGCGGGCCTCGGGGAGGCACTGTGCTGAGTCAGCATGACTCGCCAGAACAGCCGCTCTCTGGGGCGAGCCCTGGGGTTATTTATAAAGCTCCTGGTTTCCTTCTAGGCTTGCCCCTCCTGTCTTATTCTTTCTAATCTCCTCCTGCCCCTTGTCCTGCCTCTGTCTTCCCAGCAGCCTTCATTCCCCTTCCCCCAGCAGGTCTTCCTGACCTCCCACCTGGTTCCCTAGGGCAGACAGGGAGGATCCCCTCTCAGGAGAGAGAGGCAGAAGGGCTTTCAGGTATCAGGGGAACGGGCAGGTGAGGGGTGAGTGCGGGGCTGGGTGCCTGGGCAGCAGGCCCCCTGGGTGGGGTGTGAGGGAGTTGGCAGGGCTCTGTGTGAACTAGGGAGGGAAGGGGGTAGGGGTGGTCTCCAGGGTCCTGACCTCTGCTCCATGTCTTGCAGACAGTACCTGCTTGCTGTGCCCCCGGGTTATGACGACCCCCAATAAAGGAAACAAGGCCTTGAAGGTGAGCAGGCACGGATGGGGACTCTTGGGGCTGGGGTGGCATGGGGATGGGCGCCCCTGCTCAGCCTGTGACCCTGTGCTGTGCTGCCTCCAGGTGAAGCGGGAGCCGGGTGAGAATGGCACCAGCCTGACCGACGAGGAGCTGGTGACCATGTCTGTGCGGGAGCTGAACCAGCACCTGCGGGGCCTATCCAAGGAGGAGATCATCCAGCTGAAGCAGCGTCGGCGCACGCTCAAGAACCGCGGCTATGCCGCCAGCTGCCGCGTGAAGCGGGTGACCCAGAAGGAGGAGCTGGAGAAGCAGAAGGCGGAGCTGCAGCAGGAGGTGGAGAAGCTGGCCTCTGAGAACGCCAGCATGAAGCTGGAGCTCGACGCCCTGCGCTCCAAGTACGAGGCGCTGCAGAACTTCGCCAGGACCGTGGCCCGCAGCCCCGTGGCACCCGCTCGGGGCCCCCTTGCCGCCAGCCTGGGTCCACTCGTTCCCGGCAAAGTGGCTGCCACCAGCGTCATCACAATAGTAAAGTCCAAGACGGACGCCCGGTCGTAGGGATGCGAGCATTTGCCCAAGCGGGTCTTTGAGGGGCCACTCGGCACATGGCGAATTTGGCAGCCCTGTCCCTTCTTCCTCCTCTCCTCTCCCCTCTCCCTCCCTCTTCCCTTCCCTGCAAAGCACAACCTGCTCCCAGGGGCGCTGGGCTGAGCCCCTTTGATCTCCTCGTTGTCGTCATGTGTTTTGTACGTTGGGATTGGTCAGTTTGGCGGTGATGTGTGGTCGCCCCTAACCCCCTTTACACCGAGGCCACGCAGGCTTGGAGTCCAGGATTGGCGCTGTGGGAGTGGACGAGAGAGAGCAAGCAAGTGTGCTGGGCCTCCTGTGTCTCTTGGCAGGGAGGCTCCTGTCTGCCCTGCTCTCCTGGGTAGGCTGCCGGGTTGGAAGGGAGCTGGAGGGTCCTACTCTCTTTAGACTGGGCAGGCAGCTCACTCAGCCCAGCAGGAAGAGATGGGATCTGCTCAGAAGAGTGTCATGTCCTTGAGGGCCCTGGGTGGGTGGGCCGCCAGCCTGGGTGCTGCGGGCGCGGGGCCAGGCTGTGGCGCTCGAGTCTGACGCATTGCACCGAACAAGACCAAATCGCTGGTTGTGAGCTTACGTGAGGGTGTGTCCAGAGTGTCCTGCAGTGGGTCCCGTGTCACTGTTTACATGACCTATTTGTGTGGTTATATAGCCCTTTATTTAAAAGAGAGACGTTCCTTTTACGAAGTTATTAAATTATATGTTTAAAGGCTAAAGAAAAAAAGCTACAGAATATTTATAAGACTGTCTTTTAAAAGGAAAAGTCAAACAAGAACAACATTTGACCATATAAGTGGAAAAGGGAAGAAAGTGATAGAAACTTTGATAGTTTAAAAAAAGAAAAAACACACAAAAAATCCCTTTCTTGTAAACTTACAGACAACTCTTTGTGGGTGTTGGAGTTTAGTTTTTATATACACAGAGTTATCAGACATTATTTATAAAACTTAGTTTAAAAAAAGACAAAAAAAAGTCGAGCCACGAGCCAACTGGAAGGCCGTTCTCTTTGATATCTCTTGCAGCTGTACCGAAAGTGACTTAATCTGCCCTTCCTGCTTCCGTCTCTTGCCGGTGCCGTGTGTCGTCCGTGCCTGGTGAGGTTTTGTGCAGCCGTAAAGTGCTGGTGCTTCTGGTGACCTTTGACCTGTGGGTGTCACTTCTTGTGTTTGTTTTCCCGTGTTTGTTTTGGATTTGGTTGTGTTCTGCTTCTGCTGGCTTGCTGGACCTGGGCTGTGTTGGGGTGCTAAGCAGTGCAGGCTCCGTGGAACTCAGGGGTCTGTGCCCATCGCCCCAGCCTCCTCTGCTGTCCGCGCCTGCCCTGGGTCCCCTAGTGGTTAGACGCGTGGCTCTGCCTCTCCCAACTCTTCTGAGCCTTGGCTATGTATATGTATCTAAGACTCTGGCTGATCCATTGGCAGGGTAGGTGAAACTGGGGGGCCATCCAGGGGCCCCACACACTGCTTCTACACCCACCATCTCTGGCCCCAGGTGGTGGTATTGCAGGGACCAAGGAGTCACTGTGGGTGTCCAAGGGGCTATGGCCAGGCTGTCCTGGCTGTCCTCCTCCTGGCCCTCAGCCCACACACTTGGGCCCTGGCCTTGGCTTTATATGGGGCCGCAGCTGGCACCCCCAGTCCGACTGTGGGTTGCCAGTCCATCACCCACTTACCCCTGACCATTTCCATGCTGCGGAGTGGTGCTCCCCAGGCAGAATGGTTAGCGCCCCCCTGGGGTGACCATTTTTCCTTTATCCTTGCCTCTCCCTGAGGGCCAGGGGCGGCGGTCTCCACCAGTACCAGACAAGGGCTATGATCTCCAGGGCCAGGACCTGTACCTCTGCTCCGCCAATTCGTTCAGGCAGCTCTTGGCTTTGGCCCTTCTTCTGCCTCCATTTGGGGTCTGTGTGTCTTCCAGGGGTCAGCTGCTGAGCTTTTGGTGGTGCCTGCCCCAGGGGCCAAGTCTGCCACCCTGTCCTAACTACTCGGCAGAGGCTGCGACCTTTCAGTCTTGGCTCCAGAAGCTCCTCATAGGCATGTGACAGGAGTGCTGGGGTGCCCACCCCCAAGAAGCTACAGCCTTGTCTCTGGCCACATGGGCCTTGGCCTCTCACCAGGGTTACTAGTGTCTTCTCTGGGAGCCCTGGACCCCTGAAAAGCACAGAATTGTGGGCTGGTGGAAAGAAAAAGAAAAACTGACCTGATAGGTCTAACCACATGAGCAACAGGATTCTCATCTGAGTTGACTTGGTGTGCCCATGAGGTGGGAACGGAGACTTGCTGTCAGTCCTTGTCTGGATGGGCTTCTTTTGTCTCTTAGGTGCTCAGAGATATTCCTGTGTGTCCCTGGGTCGGTCTATAAATGGAAAGTTTTTTTTTTTTTTTTTTTTTTTTTTTTAAAAT